GGCGTGGCAGACCTCTCCTGACCTGCCCACTGCTCCCCTCAGCAGTGTACTTCGTCGATCTGCCTGTTCTGCTCCCCACTCTGTCTCTGGTGAAGTCTCTCACTGCCCCTGAGCCTCTGGCCTATACCACAGTTCTGTATGCACAAATAAATAAATCTTAAAAAAAAAAAGTTCAGTATTTAAATTACCAAGATATTTAAGTATTTACGATGCTGACAGTAGCAATTAGACTGCACTGGTTTAGTTCTCTTCAGAATCACTTTCACTGAGTTGTTCTTTGAAAGGTATGTTCTTGACTTTATTTAAGGTCATTGAAAAAGAGCATTTGAATCAGTTTAATCTTTGTTGTGATACTAATTATTAATTTCTTTCTATACAGATTTAACACAACAGTTTTTGTTTTCCCAATTGGTAGGCATCTTCACCCTTTTTTAAAGATTTATTTATTTATGCATACAAGAACTGGGGTACAGGCCAGAGATGTGGGGGGTGAGAGTATTCACCAAACAGTGGGGAACAGAAACATAGTGGACTGACTGAAATACACTGCTGAGGGGTACGGTGGGTGGGACAGGAGAGGTCTGTTGCGCCATGTGGGTTACCTCCTTGGCCGGGGATCAAACTTCTGACACAGTGGCTGCGCATAGCATCATAATGCTGCACTTTAACCCCTTGTGCCACCAGGGAGGAAGGACCCCCCCTCCTTCCTTTTCTTATCATAATATTGTCTGAATGTTTCTCTTTTTACCAGGAAGTTCAGAACCACATTTTATACTTAGCTGTAGTATTAGTTACTATTAACCTTTCAAAAAAAGAAGTTTTTAATTTTCTATTTTAAACAATGTCTGCATATTTATCATTTCCGAGTATACAAAAGAAACATCTCAAGATATCTATTGAAAAGAAATGAAGTAAGAGTTTAAAGAAATTAAAAAATTTACTTTGGCATTCTTTCCAGAACCTAGAGGGATAGAATATACTTTCAAAAAATGACTTGTTTAATTTCTGCTTTATATGTTTATTACTAAAAATTCTTTTGATTTGAGGATTAGTTTTACACTGAGAAGATTTATCAAAGGTTGGAAATTAGTATTAGAACATGTGTTTGCTAATTTAACTTTTTTTTATATTGAAGGACTTAAGATATATGACTAACTTTAGTTTTATTCTATGAGAATGTGTTTGTTTTTTAATTCATAAGTCAATGGCAGATTAGTAGTTATTTTTAAAAGCATACATACAATTGGGTGTGAATCACCAGTGACTGATACTCGGCAGGAGAGAGGTAATAAAATTTACTGTTTTGTGAGCTTCTGGGGAAACTGGTTAGTCCAGTTTTTCAGACTACTCAACTTTGCATATTACTGTTTTGGAATAAAAACTTAATTAGTAAATAATTTTTATGCTATTAGAGCTTTCAGTCCAGTTAAAGGAATTAAAAAAAATAAAAAATAAAACACGGGGAAAGGTTGCCCATTGGCAGGCAATGACACTTTCTATTCATTGCACCAAAAACAGGTGTTAATGAAAAAAATGTTCTTAACATTGTAGGACCAATTTGATATTTCTCCTACTTACTACCAGTCTTTGTAGACTCAAGATTCATAATTCAGAATCGCCTCTGCTGACTGGCCAATCTGCTGTAAGAATGAGTCTTCCAGGCTCATCTGTAGTTGGTAATATAAGTTGTTGCAATATGCTTCTTTACTGCTGACCTGATCTTTGTTCCAATACCATCAGAGTATATTGTTATTTGTTAAAGGATAAAAACAATACAGATCAAACTAGGTATAGTTTAGTGATGATATAGTTATAACTATTAGTGACAGGGAAAGTTCTTGGAAGCATTTATGTATTAAACTTCTTTAGGAGCGAACGTTGACTCTTTTATAGGTGATTGACTCCATTTGCAGTACCAGAAAGCTCCAGAATAAGTTAAAGATATCCAAACTTGTGCATCACAGAATTTCTAGGAGATCTTTTCTAAACCTCACACTTTTTAGAGTGGCCATCCCAACTGGTTATTTTGTAGTCTGTCAACCAGGTTGCACATCTCTCGAACAAATTATTATTTTCAAATTCCTTTAAGATAAATCTCTTTACCTGATAAATATTATTTCCATTATTTAAGATGACTATCTCTTAAAGGTAAGCACTAACATGAGAAAACTGAGTGAGATAAATGAATGAATCCTACATACAGACACGTGGGGCCTGTGTGGAGGCGAAGACACATTTAAAGCAGGTCCAAATAGTACTGTTGTAGTAATTGTCGGGTTACTATTTCATGCTGCTCATCTTTGTAGGTATCACTAATAGTCTCAGCAGATGTCCCATACTCACCTCCTACAAGACCCAGACAGATTATTTGTTACTGAAAAAAGTTGCAAAAGAACATTTGACACCTGCAGCGGGCAGTCATTTCTAATCAGTCATGGCCTATTTCTATTCCTGCCAACTATGTCCAATGTCTACAGATCACTGAGTTCGTTGTTTTTTTTTTTTTTTTAGATTTATTTATTTGTGCAAACAAGAATGGGGGTATATACCAGAGATGCGGGGGTGAGAGAATTCACCAGAGACTGGATAGCAGAACAAACAGATTGACTGAAATAGACTGCTAAGGGCAGCAGTAGGCTGACAGGGACGTCCGCTGCCCCATGTGGGTCACCTCCCTGGCCAGGGATCAAACTTGTGCTGCAGTGGCTTCAGGTAGTTTCATAGTGCTGAGACTTACACCCTTGCATCACCAGGGAAGCGCCCCTGATTGTTGAGGTTTTTTTTTTTTTTTTTTTTAAAGATCTATCTATTTATGCATACAGAACTGCGGTACAGGCCAGAGATGCGGAGGGTGAGAGGCTTCACCAGAGACAGAGTGGGGAGCAGAACAGGCAGATCGACGAAGTACACTGCTGAGGGGAGCAGTGGGCGGGTCAGGAGAGGTCTGCCACACCATGTGGTCACCTCCGGGGCAGGCGGGAGTCGAACTCATGCGGAAGCCGTCTTAGATTCTCAGTGCTGTGCTTTAACCCGCTGCGCCACCAGGGAGGGCCTGATTGTTGAGTTTTTAAGAGAAGTTAAAATCTCGATTTTATGTGAGGGCTCCAGATGTTTTAGATGTTGGTGTAGTGTATTAGAAGACTTGGTTCACCTGCTACCAACTACAATGTGCTAGAATGGTGGTTCTCCAAGAGTGTCCCTTGACTAGTAGGATTAGCATCACCTGAGACCTTCATAGAAGTGCAGATTTCCAGATCCTACCCTAGAACTACTGAATCAGAAGTTCTGGGGGGAGGCCCAATAACATATATTAAAAAAAAAACTTTTGGTGGGTGGATAATTCTGATAATGCTAACGTGTGAGAACCACAGCTTTGGCTATGGCATGATTTTTATCTAGAGATGGCTGTAAAGATAGAAATTCACCAATTATTCTGTTGACTTACTGCACATATTTGTATATAAAATAGCGGATTTATGTTTTCAGAGATCTGTGACCTTATCTACATGTATATTTTGTCATAATTAGAACACATAACGATTCAATCAGATTTAGTTCCTTTCCTTCTCTTCCTCCTTCCGGCTCCCCTCCACCCCATCTCTCTGTATTGCACATGAACTTAATGGCAATTCTGTGCCAAATTTTTTCTTCACTAGAATAAACCTCACATTTTATTTTGATTTTTTGATTAAAAGTACTTAACTCTGTTGCTGGACTTTCTGAAGCTTCAATCTGAAGTTTCTTTGAAATAAATATGATTAACAAATAGGGAATACTTCCTTTTGCTTTGTCTCAGTTGAATTCTGTTTGTTGACTGGATTTAGAACTTCCATTTCTGATTATCTTATTCTTCTATAAAAGGTGAGGTTTGCTTGTGTGTTTTATATAAGCCTGGTCTCTAACAGCTGAGCCTTAATTATAATGCTTAAGTACGCCATTAGTTCCCTCATTCCCAGAATGTAGAAATGGCCCTGAAAGCTCTCCTTTCTTTTGCATTGACTTTAATGTATCTGTTATTTACAAGCCCTTAGTACCATGCTAATCAAATTAATTGTGGATTTTATAGCAGAAATTTTCTTAGATTTAAAAGTATACAAAAGGCCCTCCCTGGTGGTGCAGCAGGTTAGGACACAGCACTACAACTTGGCCACAGCCACTTCAGTGCCATTTCCATCCCAGCTGGAGATGATCCACATGTCCTGGCATCCCTCTCCTGTCTTGCCTGCTGCTCCCCTCAGCAGTGTACTTCCTAGATCTGCCTACTCTGCTCCCCACTCTGTCTCTGGTGAAGCCTCTCACTGCCCCTGCACCTCTGGCCTGTGCCTCAGTTCTGTATTCATAAATAAATCTTTAATAAAAAGTATACAAAAAGTTATTGTCTTACCTAGAAAAATGCATAATTAATAGCCTTCTAGAGTATTTAAAATAGTAAAGTAGACACAAGTTGGAAACAATGTGATTTAAAGTAATAGCTATGTAATTACTATTTATTAATGAAAACATGCTTACATCCACAGGGTAAACCAGACTTGAATACAACATTGCCAATTAGACAAACAGCATCAATTTTCAAACAACCAGTAACCAAAGTCACAAATCATCCTAGTAATAAAGTGAAATCAGACCCACAACGAATGAATGAACAGCCACGTCAGGTAAGGATCTGCTTGCTTTTCCAATCTTATTTTTCAGAACATTCTGGTATTTTTATCAGGCAGTTCAAGTAAACTCTGGTTAAAACAGATTATATTTGGAAAGAAAATTGTTTTATGTCCTAGGCTATTATGTGTATACTAGGAATACCTCTAGTGATAAAATATTATTTAGGTAAAATGTTTTTTAAAAAATAAGAAATTAATTTAAAATGAATTTAAAATAATATGGATGGCATTTTTATGCTTTGGTGTGGTTATATACAACAGACTTGGTTCTGCTAATCTTAGTTTGTAAGATATTATTTTCCAGGGATATTTCCTAAGGGGATGAAGCATCCTGTTTGTGTTGTTTAGTTTTAAAAGATATTCTATTAATTGGGGACTTTTGTTCTGATTTCTTATTAAATGAAGCTCTCTTTCCCCTTTTGAAAACGGAATTAAATAAACTTTGTCAATATGGTAGATTGTCCTGCGACTTCCATTTTTGTATCAATTGATTTTATTTTTTCTCTCTCTTGATTGCTTCAAGCTGTATTCCAATAGAATCTTTTCTTAGAAAAAAATATTACCTGAAAGGCCTCCCTGCTGCTTAATAATGTCACAGAGCCAGGGGAGGGAAACTTGACAAATGCTTAAACTTTCTAAGTAATCTTGCTTATTCACTCCCTAACTGTGGTCAAAAAAGCTTAGGCACTTTGTGAATTATCAGTAGCAGCTGGGGTGAGGAAGTGGAGGGAGAAACATCTGCATTTTTTTCCTCTCCTTTCTCTGCCTCCTCCCACTTAGGGATTAGAAACACTGATCGATCAACGAGGATTATCTTTGGCTCTCATGTTCCCCTTTAGAGATCTCACTCCACCTTTTCATTTGAATTGTTTTCACTAGTCCCTTGAGTATTTCATCTCCAGACTCCGTAAAGGATTGGGCCAAAACTTTCAGACAGTTGCTCTAGAAGAAACTACATAAAGAAATTCAGTTCCCACATCCTCTGTAGTGTTTTTTCCTCTTCAGGTGAGCCAGGAAAACAGAAGATATTTGGAGCCACATTGGATCAGCATCTTGCTATAGATGTCTCAAGATTTGAAGTTCTAAACTTGCTTTACTGTTGGTCCCCAAGAGATTCAACAGGGGCCATGTAAGTGTATCACATCCAATATAAAAGATGCGTACCTGCATGTGCCTTTAGGTTCTGGTCACCACTAGGTTTTCTGTGGGCCATTCAAGCTTTCTGTACCAGGCTTTTCCTTCTGTGTAGTACTGTGCTCAGTGATAAGTCACCCAACCAGTTCGAGTGTGAGCCTATTCGTTATGACCAGGAAGGAGTTCTGCCATTCTGAACTTTGCCCACCTTGATAAAGCCCTTCCCTGAATGTATTCTTTCTTAGATACTTTCTAAATTCCTGAACATCTTGTCCTTTGGCTTTTTGGTGATTTGAAAATCATTTCCTTGTAAAGATTTGTTATTGAAAATTTCTGAAGTATGTAATTGGCTAAGGCAGTTGCTTTCAACAGCTCAAAAGGTAAAGTAGAATAACAAATAATTTTAGCTCCATGTTAGAAGTTAGAGTTGTCTTACTGAGAGCAGATAGCATTTAGAAGATTTTTATTCTCATCTTTTCTTTGCCAAACCATTCTCCATTCAGTCTACATACCCAAAGGTTCTGTTTAAGACCAATTGACTGGCAAATTATATTCATTTTAACACTAATTTAATTGTTTTCTACATCTCACTTCAGTCACAGCTTTAAAAAAATGGCAGCATTATGTTTAATGGGTGTTTGATCAAAGAGATGATTGGTAACCTGGATTTTTAAAGTTGAAGTATCCAGATGAGTTGCACTTGTCCTTTGGTATGTTGAGTAGTTTTAAGTTTCCTTCTTTTATTATGGTTTATGAGATTGTTCTCAAATGAAAAGAATATGTAAAAAAAAAAAAAAAAAAGCCAAATCTTATTCTTTGCCTCATCCCGTCCCCCACAAACATGTCATTTTAACCCAGATCTTTTGAGGATTTAATCTTCTCTTAGCTTGCAAAGATAGGGAGTGTTGATGTTATATAGGTTTCTTTGAAAGTTTGGACTGTTTTTAAATTTATCAGTCACCTAACAATTTTTGCAGACTGTTTTTTATTTTACTAAACTGTTAGTTTCTTTCCCTTTTCTTGATATTCAACATCAGAATTGAAGTAATATTTAAGTACTGTTTCACTAACAGCATTTTAAAATATAGGGCTGTGCATTGAGCAAATAAAGAAAATTATAGAGGCCATTTTTAAAGTATTAATATTTTAAACATCATTATCTCTCCTCCTGATTATTCCAGTTGAGATTTAACTTTTTTTAGTAAAGAAAGATGTGAATTTTAATTACGTTTTGACATGCAAATGACAGGTGACTGCTAATCAACTATTATTAAAAGAGGAGATAGTGGGCGAAGAGTACATAAGCAAAAATGATTCTTCAAATTTGCTGCCTTTTGCATAGCTTCATTCAGCTAGGGTGGTATTATAAATTGTTGTATATTCCATTTGGAGAAAACTTTGCTTACAGGGTCAAAAAATTTAGATGATGTACTTTATTGTTGGTCTGAATGTTTTTATTCTTTATCACATTCTTTTGATATAGTATTTAAACCAGTTGGTTTTATTATTTCTTTTAAAACATATAATTTTGAGTTCTAGCCTTAACTTTAGGTTGCTGGATCTTAGTCTAGGTGATATTCATCTACTGCAAAGAGTTTGGGAAGGATTAATTTAGATGTGAAGCAATCATAAAAATCAACAATTCTGTTTTATGTAATGAGCATCTTATCCCCAGCCATATAGCAGTCCAATTTGAATTCTGTAAATATAGTGACTCCTTGAAAATGCCTTATCTTGAAAAGTATAAATTAGGGTAATGCAATCAAAAGTACATTTAAACAGAATTCAGCAGTGACTCTGGCCTGTAAGTAAAATGATATGGAAGGATGGAATCTGTAAAACCTGGTTATGATAGGGTAAGTCAGTAAATGACAAGTAAAGCCAGTCATTGTTATGCAGTCTCTCAGCATAGTGGATGAGTGCTTGTATCTCATTAGGTTAAAAGAAATTTGGAGTATGGTGGAGAGAACTTTAACTATTAAGCTGTTAGCCCAAAGAGTAAGATCATTAAAATGTTTTTATTCAGTCAGGTAAAACGTATCCCAAAGTTCTCTCTTGTCTAACTGAATATCAGTTTGCTATCAAGGGTACCTCTCCTAGAGTCCACATTCAGTATACAAAGAGCTTAAATTTCCGCTTCTGTCTTATTTGTCACCTATGACAAGTTCCCTGACTGTTAATTGCTTTATTCCCCCTTCATACTAAAAATGAATCAATTTCATATTTAAGCCATTACTTCCT